TGTTTTTTAGAGAGGGGGAAGAGGGAGATGGAGAGAGAGAGACTCTCACACAGGCTCCATGCCTAGAACGGAGCCTGTCACAGGGTTCCATCTGTTGACTCTGAGATCATAACCTGAGCCAAAATCAAGTCTGAGCCACCCAGGCGCCAGGTGCAAGGTTGAACTTTTTTTAAAGATTCTTTTTTTTAAGATTTTATTTATTTATTTGACAGAGATCACAAGTAGGCAGAGAGGCAGGCAGAGAGAGAGGAGGAAACAGGCTCCCCGCTGAGCAGAGAGCCCCACGTGGGGCTCGATTCCAGGACCCTGGGACCATGACCTGAGCTGAAGGCAGAGGCTTTAACCCACTGAGCCACCCAGGCGTCCCAGGTTGAACTTTTTTTAAAAAAAAATTTTATATTTTTGAGAGAAAGAGAGTAAGGGGTTGGGAGAGGGAGAAGCAGACTCCCCACTGAGCAGGAATCCCCATGGGGGGTGAGGGGGCTTGATGCTGGGACTCTGGGATCATGACCTGAGTTGAAGGCAGATGCTTAAGCGACTGAGCCACCCAGGCGCTCCAGGTTGAGCTTTTTTTTGATGTTAATTTGACATTAAGAGTTTTTGGAATTTGTTTTATGTCCTTTGCACCTTTTTTTTTTTTTTTTAAGCTTCATTTATTTACTAGAGAGAAAAAGAGCACGTGAATGCCCATGCTCCCAGGGGGTGGGGAGAGGGGCAGAGGGAGAAGAAGAGAAAAATCCCAAACAGGCTTCCTGCTGGGCACGGAGCAGGAAGCAGGGCTCCCTCTCAAGATTCTGAGACCATGACCTGAGCCAAAATCTAGAGTCTGTTGCTGAACCAACTGATACACTTAGGCACTCCTGCAGTGTTATTTTTTCTAATTTTTTTTTTCTACTTAAAAAAAAAAAATACTATGTTGTAAGAATTTTTCCTATAAAAAGAGATCTATATAAAAAAGAAATTACCACATGGTCTTATAAGGAAAATTATTTGTTTTTATTATTGAGACTTTACACACAATAAAATTGTGGATCCCTAATGTTTTTGGAGGAGTAGTTTCATTAAATCTTCTGATTTTTTGTTAAAAGCAACCAGGGCAGTTAGAAAAGGGAAATACAAATTTGAGGAACTGCTCCTGGAAGGCTGTAAGGACTAAGAATTTACTTCCTTGCTGTGGTATGATAAGGAAAGGAAGGAAGAATTAACAAATATCAGTGTAGAGCACATGGAAAGAAAGAAAGTCATGATGTACTGTAGAAAATAACACAATAATTTCTTACTATGTCTTACTATGTCACGTACTATGTGACCTGTTTCATGAATCAAACAAACATTTATTGAGGTAGAGCCTTCTCTACTTAAAGAACATATATGATACAATGCTTATAAGGAGAAAGATACATTTATAGCAGAAAGAATACAGTGTGAAATTTGCTGTAATAAGGTTAGATATAACCTGCCTACTGTATTATACAGGATAGTATTAATGGGCCTGGTCTGATTTTGTAGCACAGAGTGATGAGAATGAGCCTGTTTGTTGGTGACTGCCAGAAGTTATAGCTGTCACCTCTTATATGTGGAATGATAAATGATACCTGAGAAAATAAAAATTAAATGATACTCAAATACTGTTTTTTAGTTTTAAACAGGTAAATTTTGTTTTGTTTTTGTGTTCATCAATATGAGTATGATAATGAGTTTAAATATTTGTCACAATGAAAAGAATATATTTCTTAGATTTTTTTTTTTTAAGATTTTATTTATTGATTTGACAGAGATCACAAGTAGACAGAGAGGCAGGCAGAGAGAGAGAGAGAGAGAGGGAAGCAGGCTCCCTGCCGAGCAGAGAGCCCGATGCGGGACTCGATCCCAGGACCCTGAGATCATGACCTGAGCCCAAGGCAGCGGCTTAACCCACTGAGCCACCCAGGCGCCCCTTCTTAGATTTTTTAAACAGGGAAGTATATAATACATTTTTGAAAGTTATTAGAACTATTAAAAAATAGTGGCAGTCTTCTGTTATTTAAAACTATGAATTAATTCTTAAGATTTCAGATAAATGGATTTTTGTTGTATTATGAATCTCGTAAGGGGTGCCTGGGTGGCTCAGTTGGTTCAGCAAGTCTGTCTCTTGATTTCATTTCAGGTCATGATCTCAGGGTTGTGAGATCTAGCCCCAGTCAGGCTCCATGCTGGGCGTGCAGCCTGCTTAAGAGTCTCATTCTTCCTCTGTGTCCCTCTCTTATTCTCCCCCTCACTCTCTCTAAAAAAATTTAAGAATTAAAAAAAAAATCTCTTAAAAGGATTCTCTAACAATGCTTTTTATAAGTTTGACTTTCTCCTTACTGAAGTGATTCATCTAATATTTGTGTGTGTGTGCTTTCATCTCTGTTTTATTATAATGACTTTAATACAGGTGAAGACTAGTAAATTTTATTATAACCAAATGAAAACAATTTATTTGTTATTTAAGAACCGATTTTGCATAGCTTTACCAACAGTAGGAATCAAATGATATTGTTGATTGTAACACTCTTTAGTACGCCACTATTATTTATTTTTATCTTTTGTATGTAAGTGCTCAATAGAAATATATTGCTAAATAAATAGAATGTTATATTATTATATTATTATAGAAAAATCCCTTTTATATCTTATTTGAAGTTATTTTAATCAGTTTTATTTTTTATATCTTAACTTTTACATACAGTGTATATCTGATCGGGGCTGATTGCAGGAGCCTGGGATCATGACCTGAACTGAAGGCAGAGGCTTTAACCCACTGAGCCACCTAGGCGCCCGGGTGCTGTTTGTTCATTTTTGTAAAAATTGAGCTGTATACTTTTATTTTTTTCTATTTATATTATGTCTTAATTAACTTTAAAAAGTTCAGTAATTACTGAAATAACACTTTAAAATTAATAATGTTAATAGGGATGATTGGGAAAAGAAATGTGGAGATAGGTAACTGTTTTCTTCAGTTGTGATTTTTAAAGGATATGTAAATAGTTCATTAAAAAATGTATGTTTACTTAGGAAATATCAACTTATATATGTGTCTAAGCTCCAGCTATTTGGAGTAACACTTTATGCCTGGATGATAGCCTGTGACAGGATTTCAAGGACTTTAGACATCAAGAAGGAAGAATAGCAAACTAGTCTGAAGCATGAGAACAGCTTAATCTATTTCTAGAATTTAAGTTATATATGTACAGACTTCCTGTTTATTCACTTCTATATCCCTAACCCTTTGCTTATACTTAGCAATGCATATTTGTTAAATCAGTGTGTCCCTGTTTTCGTTTGCTCTGCCATCAACTATCCTTTCTTCTGCGTTGAGTATTACCACCTTTAAAAAAGCACTTTGTCAATCTGATAGGTAAAGTATCTTATTTGAATTTGTATTTTTTTATTATTAATGAGTGTAAGTTTTAAAATGTTTATTAAGTACATGACTTAATTTTTTGAGAATTATCTGTTTAAGTAGTGTAGACCTGATTTGTTCAGTGTAGTAGCCACTAGTGTCATGTGACTCTTGAACACTTTGAATTGAGATGTGCTGTTAAAGTATATACTGGATTTTGAAGTCTTATTGTGAAAAACCATGTAAAATGTCTCATTAATAATTTGTTAGTGTTGGCTTCATTTTGAAATGACAATTATTAGATCTGTTGGTTAAATAAAATTTATTATTAGACTTAATGTCACCTGTTGGGTTTTGTTTCCGATGTGACTCCTAGAAAATTCAAATTCACATATCTGATAAGCATTGTATTTCTACTGGGCAATACTGATCTAGATGGTAATCTAATCATGAGGTGATATAGGACTTGAATTTGGGTAGTATTTATAGAAGGAAAGTAAGGGGGCGCCTGGGTGGCTCAGTGGGTTAAAGCCTCTGCCTTCGGCTCAGGTCATGGTCCCAGGGTCCTGGGATAGAGCCCTCCATCAGCCTCTCTGCTCATGGGGAGCCTGCTTCCCCTCTCTCTCTGCCTGCCTCTATGCCTACTTGTGATCTCTGTCTGTCAAATAAATAAATAAAATCTTAAAAAATGGAAGGATTTTAAATTCTGCAGTATGTGTGTACACTATATAATCTGTCACATTACAAGATATTTTATAGTTTTTATGTGCTTCAGTCATGACTTTGTAATCAATTGTAAGCTTTTTTTTTTTTTAGGGCAAAGGCTACATTACTATTTTGAAATTCTCTACATCTTCTGTTTTGTTGTCTACATAGTAGCTTGATTGAATAAGAACTGGATATGAAATAATCTTATAAACTCAAATTTAAATTTTTAGAATGCAAATCAGTGATTCCTAGAGTTCTTATGCCTTTTATTTTACTGTATTTATTTATTTTTCTTATTTTTTTATTTTTTTCAGTGTTCCAAGATTCATTGTTTATGTACCACACTCAGTGTGCTATCACCAGCTAGCCAGATCAGTCATATCCTTTTTAAAAGGAGTAAGGATAAGGGAACTAACATCTAGTCTTACGTTTACCAGGCTCTGAGTAGTCATTTTATATATTTTTTCATTTAATCCTAATGGTAACCTGTGAGAAAGATAACGACTACCATTTTATAGGTTAAGACACTGCCATTGAGTAATGTTTCCATTGTTAGGGTATTAATCCAGATAATGGCCAATTTCAAAGCTAGCATTTTATCCATTGTAGTTTACTGTCTTGATTGAAGTTAGTTATTTTACATGACTTGAAGTTAGTTTAATATTATGGTTGACATGAATTAAAGAATAATCTCAAGAATGAAATGTATAATGATAAATTTTGATAGTTTATGATGTATATATTATATGTTTTATGTTAATACATGACAGGAAATTTGGAAATCTTTTCCCAGACCTGAGAGGTAGAACAAAAGGCATGTTTGTTTTTCATTTTGATTTTTCATGGTGTATTCTAGAAATTGCACTGTAGTTTTTGGGGAAAAAAATTACAAAGTAGTTTTAAATATTTCCTTTGTTTTGTCTTTCAGATAAAATCAAAGACAAAATTAAAGAGCGAGATAAGGAAAAAGAGAGAGAGAAGAAAAAGCATAAAGTAATGAACGAGATCAAGAAAGAAAATGGAGAAGTAAAAATTTTGCTGAAAAGTAAGTTCATATTCAGTGATTTTAGTTGTATTATATTCCTCAGTTTACTTACTGGCTTAGTGATTTGAATAAGAAATGTTTGTCACTGAATTTTGCTGACAATAAACTTTAATTGTAAGAATATGGAAAGGTTTGTAATAGTGGGGCGTTTTAATCTGTGTAGTAATGTCTTTAGTATATTTAATTAGTGAGTTATGAAAAAGCAGAAAAAGTTAGGCTTTTAGGTTCCTTAAATATAGGTCATCTAATTCTGTGTTTGCATTACTAGTCTTTATCCATATTTAGATCTAAAAAGGCTAAAACAGTTTTAATATGGTAGGGATGATAGAAGAAAGTGAGCTTAAAAATACTTGACTGTAATCACCATATAGTCTGGTATCAGAGGGAATGTTTTACTCTGAGCTGAATTAGAAGGTATACTGTTTTACTGTGAGTTTCTTGCAGGCTTAAAGAACATCCGCTTTTTGTTTGCTGTTTTTTCTCTATTGTTACATTTGTTTTCAGTTGCTGTTTATACATGGTGGGGGCGGTGGCTGGATAATAATACAAATCCTATCAATAAATCTGAACTTTTTCAGGGAATATGTATGGTAGAAATACAAGTAAGGACAGTTATAAATTCACTCTGGTAACAAGAGAAGAGTCAGTGGCACTTTGGTTGCTAGACAGCTAACAAATTCATTAGCTGACCCTATTGAGAATTTGTAGATCAGAACACAATGACCTTGATTAATTTGACACTGAATTTATGTGTTAATAAACCATTATCTCTACATTAAGAAGAAAAGGCTGTAGTACCATATGTGTAATGAAATAACTGGTTAAAATTTATATTATTTAAGAAACAATATTAGATTCTGTATTTTGATTTCATTCTTCGTCTTGTTTCTTGGTCACACTTTATTTAAGCTCTGTTTTCTACTTGTCAGAACTTTATAAAATTCTTTTGACCTTGGAAGAAGTAGTCAGAGCTTAAGTTGATGGCTACTTAGTTAGGTGCATGGTCCTTTTATTCTATTTCTTTTGACAGTGTGTTTTTGTTATATTGTCTAAGGAGATTGTAAGACTTTGAGGCAGGAATCAAATCTAACCACCCTAGTGTTGTATAGCAGCTAATGATTCATTATTGAAGTGTTTACTTAACTTTACCCTGTTGGTTTAGTCAAATAGTCATTTTTTACTGGCTTAGTCAGATAGCTATTTTCTTATCCAGTGGAATGTACAGTGATGAAAATTCTTGTCGCTCGGCTGAATGTTGGATTCCTTACATACCATTTATGTGAAATATGTGAATCAAGAGATTACATATACAAATAAAATTTAAAATAGCCTCAGAAAATGGAGATTTTTTTTTAGTAATAGCAATAGTAACCTTGACTTCTAAGTAGATGAAGAATGTAGGAGATACTTTGAGCTAAACGGAAAACCCAGTGATGATAAAGGGAGGAAAATGAGGTAGTTTTGGAAATGAATTAGTGACCTCTAAGATGACCAGGGGAAGATGAATTTACTGTAAAACAGGTAAATAATAATCTAATTACTGCTTTACAGCGTTGTGAAGATTAAAAGAGGTTTAAAGTATGGTGGAAGTTCCAAGTAATGTGTTTGGTCCACAGATAATTCAATAAGTGGCTATGAATTTTTTTTTTTTTTTTGTAAACATGTATGAAAGATTAACTCCTGTGATTGTAAAACAACACAAAATTATCTCCTACCTGGGTAAGATAAAGATAATTAAATTAATAAAACACGTTTCGTTTGGAAAATAGTGCCTGTCCCATTGTAAGCAGCCAGTAAGTGTTAGCTATTATTATTACCCAGTAAAAACAATTAGCTCTGCTGGTTTATGAACAGGGAAGGGCCTTCTTTATTATCGGTCTTGTGCAACAATAACAGAATCAATATGGTAGGGGTGGTGTGCGGTTACTACTATGTGCCCCTTTTTCCTTCATGGCTTTCAACTCTTATTTTGTCTTTATAATTTTCTCCTTCTGTGATAATGCTAATGTTGCAAGCTGTGGCTACTCAGGCATTGATTGTTTGATGACAGCACTTGAGCATCTAAAATAGATGCTAATTCTTACTTTACACCAGTCTTATTTCCTTCAGGTTTTCATCAAAAACTGCATCTAACTGAGTATGACTAGAGTTACATACATAATCATATACATGCCAAAAAGGTTATTTATTTATCTGAGAGAGAGACAGAGAGCACAGAGGGAGAGGGAGAAGCACACCCCTATTGAGCAAGGAGCCCAATGCGGGGCTGGATCCCAGGACCCTGGGATCATGACTTGAACTAAAGGCAGCTGCTTAACTGACTGAGCCACTCAGGCTCCCCAGAAAGTTTTTATTAATGTAGAAATACTATAAATGTTTTTCACTGATGAAATAGGATTACTTGCTTTATGAGAAATAGTTTAAAGGAACAAATGTTATTTGACTCATAAGCTTATTCAGCTCATCCTTTTATAGTTAATGTCTGCCAACTACTTTCTCTGAGCATACTTATATCTTCTAGCCATTTTTATGTTGTGAAAAGTTGTAAGAACAGAGATGTTATGATTATAGTATTTTTGAGGGTAAGTTTTATCGTTATAGTATATCACAGAAGCTTGCTGGTGAGCAGCGGGCATGAGGGTTGAAAGAAGCCAATATCCAAGATTATTGGTAGTATACCAAAGGTCACAGGTAGGTAATTCTTGTTAGGAAGAGTGAAAATAATTGCTGTGCAAAAAAAAGCAAAGTCATTCCCGAAAGACCAGAGGTTGAAAATAGCTAAGCTAATTACTACTTTTTTTTCTATGTATGATAATGGAGTTATATATAAATATTAGTTCTTATATTAGATATGAAATCAGAACCAGTTTTTCTGGACAGCCTTTATTTTTTCTATTAACACTAAACGTATACTAAGGCTGGTGGTGGAAATAAATGCCAGTAAATTTGTGATTTTATTTTAAACTTTTTTTTTTTTATAATTAGTCATTGACAACATACACTATTTTTGTTTCTGTTTCTGTGTGTGTGAAAAAGAGGGGCTTTTTTTCTCTAGCTATGTGTGTGCACCTTTCTCTATAGCTGAATCTCTCTTTGCCTCTCTTTGTATTTATGTGTCTGTGGTGCTGTGTGTATGTGTATTTGTGTGGGGTCCACTGTGTGCATAGATCCATGGATCTGTGGAGGAAGGATTCCCTATCAACCTTATACCTTTATACATTTTGAGGGTCCAAATTACTGAGAACCCATCTTTCTTTTATGGGTGGTTATTAGGATCCTTTTAATAAGATATGCTCTGATTTGAAGAATTACAGGATATAGAGAAAGGTGTACTTTAAATACTTTTTAGGGTCACCTGGGTGTCTCAGTTGTTAAGCATCTGCCTTCAGCTCAGGTCATGATCCTAGAGTCCTGGGGTCAACTCCCTGCATCTAGCTCCCTGATCAGCGGGAAGCCTGCTTCTCCCACTCCTTCTCCTTGTGTTCCCTGTTTCGCTGTCTCTCTGTCAAATGAATAAATAAAATCTTAAAAAAAAAACCAAAAACACTTTTTAGTGTAAGAGAAGAACATTGGTATTCAAAATTATCTAATTTCCTTAAAGTATTTTATTTTTGTTTTTCCTTAAAGTATTTTAAAATTTTGTCACTATATATCTACTGCATTTCATATGTCATTCTAAGACAGGAAATGAATGACAGATTATATAAAACTTTAAAAATCTGTCTAGTGAATGCTACTGTCTCGGTTTGGTTTAAACGTAGAGTATATTTTACCTGTGTCCATCAGAGGTCCTGGAGACTACCCACAGGTTTGGTGATTTGCTAAGACGACTCATAGGACTCAGCATATAGATGAGATGTCCTCATGGCTATGAATTACTGTAGTGGAGGATATAAAGTAAAATCTGTAGAGAGAAAAGGCACACGGGGGGATGTCTGGAGGAAACCAGACGCAAGCTTCCAAAAGTACTGTCCAAGTGGAATCACACAAGATACACTTAATTTTTCGAGTACTGAATTGTGACAACACATGTGAAATGTTGTCTGCCAGGAAGTTCGTTAGAGACTTGATACCCAAGATTTCTATTGGAAGTTGATTACATAGGCACCTTCTGTCCAGCATATATAAAAATTCCAGGCTCTCAGAAGGAAGATATGTTCAATATAATACATATTGCTTACACAAAAAGTTTTAGGTATAGTGAGCCACTCTTAACAGGGAATTGTGGGACCATTCCCAAAGAACAAGTTTCTCAGATGCCAGCCAGGGGCCAGCCTTGCAAGCAGGCCTTTCTAAGATTAACAGTCTCAGGCATGTTACGTTAACTTTCTTCTGCATCCTGTGCTTAGTTTAGTAGTTAATTAGAGTAGCTTGTCTTGGGAATTTAATTCCTTAAGGCTCAATATGAGGCTCTCTTAACTGATTCTTTACTATTTTGCATTTTTTCATCTGACTATTTAATACTATTGCTATTTTCATCCCTTCTTCTGACTAGAAAATAGGTAGGCTGTTGTACCTATTTCATTTCAAAGTAACATAATATCCTTATAACTGGATATTTTCTATTTTACTTTTTAAACATGTGTTAGGCATAAAAGTAATAGGATGTTGAGCTTATATTCTCATTCAAATGAAATTCTGTTTATTTTGGCAGTCCACTTAATGTGTAATTTTACATGTTGTTTTTTTTTTCTTTTTAAGGTTTTATTTATTTATTTGACAGAGAGATAGAACGAGAGAGCACAAGTAGGCAGAAGGGCAGGCAGAGGGAGTGGGAGAAGCAGGCTCTCCACTGAGCAGGGAGCCCAATATGGGGCTCCATCCCAGGACCCTGGGATCATGACCCGAGCCGAAGGCAGTCGCTTAACCGACTGAGCCACCGAGTCGCCCCATTTTACATGTATTTTCAATTTAGTTATTATATTTAGGCCTTTTAACCTTTAAGTTCTGTTTTTTTAATTCACTGCTGTCTTTTTTCCTTGACACATATAGATTTTGTTTACATATAAAACCTCTTTTGTCTTTTATTCTGATTACCTCCCTATTCTAATTTTTTTTATTACTGATTTTGTTCTTAAGATATTAACCTGAATCTAATGTTTTGATAGTTCATCCTAGGTAGCAAGTATGAATTTGTTAATATATTTACTTACTTCTGGGGCGCCTGGGTGGCTCAGTGGGTTAAGCTTCTGCCTTCAGTTTGGGTGATGATCTTGGGGTCCTAGGATCAAACCCCACATCAGGCTCTCTTTTTGGCAGGGAGCCTGCTTTCCCCTCTTTCTCTGCCTGCCTCTCTGCCTACTTGTAATCCCGCTCTCTCTGTCAAATCTAAGTAGACTCTTCAGAGAATTTTGTGACCTTACAAATCTGTCTAATCAATAAAATTGAAAGGTTTTTAGTTTTGCTTTTCATGATTATACCAAGTTAGTCTTCATGGCATATTTATGAATTTTTAGAAAGTGATGATTTACTGTTCACATTAAACTTCCCCCTTTTAGAATTGCCATCAAGTTGAGAGAATTTTCTTATTTATTTATTAATTAAATATTTTATTTATTTATATGACAAACAGAGATCACAAGTAGGCAAAGAGGCAGGCAGAGAGAGAGAGGGAAGAAGCAGGCTCCCTGCTGAGCAGAGAGCCAGATGCGGGGCTTGATCCCAGGACCTTGAGATCATGACCGGAGCTGAAGGCAGAGGCTTTACCACACTGAGCCACCCAGGCGCCCCGAGAATTTTTTTGTTTTTTAATATTTATTTATTAGAGAGAGAGTGAGTGTGTGCACACGAGCTTGAGCTTGGAGCCTGTTGGAGGGCTTGATCTCATCACCCTGAGACCACAACCTGAGCTGAAACTAAGCGTCTGATATTCAACAGCTGGAGCCATCCAGGTGTCCCAACTTGAGAGCATTTTTATGTTTATTGTTTCCAAGATTAGGATTTAGTAGCATTTATATTGTGGAAAGCTTTGGCTGAAAGGAGACAAGGAAAAATTCCATAATCCTCAGTTAGCTTGTTGGTGAGAGAAATCTTTTCATTCATGGATTCATTAAATATTTATCTGTATCGATGTATAAAATGCCGTGATGATTACAGTGACGGGGGAAAAGTATCACTTCACTCTGAATTCCTATAAAAATTACTTGTTTCACTCATACAGTATGTGGAAGGACATCTGATACAGAGGTATCCTCTGAGTGAAAAAAAAAATGACTTTATATGAATTTAGAATAAAGTGATTCCAGTTCCTACTAGAGAATTGAGGGAAAGGAAAATGAAGGAAGTGATTTATTTCTAAGGAATGGGTAAGAAAGAGTTCTTGACAAGGGTATTTTAGGGAGAGGAAATGCCTTTGCAAGTAGTAGAGAGATAAGGCAGGAAGGACTAAGTGTTTTATAAGAAATTGTAAGTAGTGCAGATTGAGCTGTGAATGAAGTGCTTGAGAGTATTGTCTTGGGATTCCATCCTGGGGTGGTTACATTTTATTTGCTAAGTATAGAGAACCCTTGAAAGAAGTTTTCTCAATGGATGAGTATGATCAAAGAATATATAAAATTTATAGAAAGATTAATAAGGCTTCAGCATTCAGGGTGTTGGTCATGAAGCTGTTAGACCAAAAAGTAATAAGGAAGTTAAAAAATCAAGGATGAACTGGATTATTGTTAAACCTTGGAGAGATCAGGAAGAGTGAAAGAATATCACTGGATTTGACATTTGAACATTCTGGGAAAGTAAATTTGAGTAGACTGGATGCAGACCTAGAATTTAAGGGATAAGAATGATAAGGTAATAAACGGAAGGCACTTGGCATAGATGGTTCTTTATGAAAAGTTTTGTTGAAAGAGGAGAGGGAACTATTTTTGTAAGGGTTTTTGGAATTGGTGGGAAGGACTTATTTTGAACAGTAGGCAGGACATCTCACTCACTGGAGACATGAATAAAAGACGTGAATATAGAAAAATTTAGTTAAGGAGATTGGGAAGATTTAATTCATAACAGGGTTGTCTATAAAAGTGAAGTAACAGGTAGAAACACTGAATGCCTTCTTTTCTTAAGTCTTACCTTATTGGCTTTCTCATATTATCTTAGGAAGCATAATATTTTCTTGTGAAGATGTTTACTTTCTCCTTTTTTCTTACTGTACAGAAATATATCGTGATAATGTTACATGTTTATATGTAGCTATATAGACTCCATGGATTATTCTTTTCTTTTTTGGAGTTCTGAATTTCTGGGTACAGAGTCTACTTGACTTCAGTTACAGAAGCTTATTAATATAGGCTTATGGGCGCCTGGGTGGCTCAGTTGGTTAAGCAACTGCCTTCGGCTCAGGTCATGATCCTGGAGTCCTAGGATCAAGTCCCACATTAGGCTTCCTGTTCGGAGGGGAGTCTGCTTCTCCCTCTGACCTCTTCCCTCTCATGCTCTCTCTCATTCTCTCTCTGTCTCAAATAAATAAATAAAATCTTTAAAAAACAAACAAAAATATATATATATGCTTATAATGCCCCAAGTCTTTTACTTTTATATTCATCTCTTTACTAGTACATGGTATCATTTATGCCTAAGACATGAGAAATTGTTCTAATTCTGTCATCTTCTTTATGGTGCCTTACTGGGTTTTCATCAGGAGCTTTGCAGACTCCAGTGGACCTCTACAATAGCCCATTTTAGATGTGAGAGTAATTTACTGAGAAAATACAGTAAAAAGCTAAGAAATTGCTGCATTTGTTGCTCTTCTACTATGCAAGTCGCTTTCTCCCTTTATGATTTACAAGTCTTGACACATATAATTTTGAAGAACTTAGATGAGTAAAAATGATGCTACATATCAGTGGGAAACATCTGGAGGTTGTTATCCATATTGACCTCTGTTCACCTTCCCATTTTTTATTTTCTGCATTTAAATTTGAAGATAATGCTTTCTAAAACTTCCATTTATTACTTCAGTAAACACTGACTGAGAATCTGCTACATGTCAGAATGGTACTGCACACTACAGGTGTAAGTTTGTCCTAGGCCTTCGTGTTCATTTATGTGTGTGTGTAGAAAGAGGGAGAGACTAAATTATGATTATCAGTACTTTGTGAAACAAGTCCTAAATATAAACCTAAATCTGAGTAAACTATTTATTGTAAGACAGTTCCTTAAGCATGATTTTTTAAGTAACTAAAATACGGAGTCTTTAAAGAAATTTTTTCCAGCAGGTGGGAAGGAGAAACCAAAAACAAATGCCGAAGACTTACAAATTAAAAAAGTAAAGAAGAAAAAGAAAAAGAAACACAAAGAGAATGAAAAACGGAAGCGTCCAAAAATGTATAGCAAATCTATTCAAACCATCTGCTCAGGATTGCTATCTGATGTTGAAGATCAAGAAGCCAAAGGCATCCTAAATGATAATGCAAATGATTACAGTGGAAAGAGTTTGGATAGCAAGAACTATGAGTCCAAAATTCCTGAGAATAGTGAGTTTCCATTTGTCTCATTAAAGGAGCCACGGGTTCAGAATAACCTCAAAAGGTTGGACACTTTGGAGTTCAGACAGCTCATTCATATTGAGCACCAGCCTAATGGAGGTGCAAGCGTTATCCATGCCTACAGTAATGAACTCTCCCACCTGTCTCCTGTGGAGATGAAGAGGTTTGCAGAAGAGTTTGTGGATCTAGTGTTCAGTGAAAATGAAAACTCTGCAGCTTTCTATGTAATGGGTATTGTTCATGGGGCAGCTACTTATTTACCTGACTTTTTAGACTACTTTTCATTTAATTTTCCCAATTCGCCAGTGAAAATGGAGATATTAGGAAAGAAGGATATAGAAACGACGACTATGTCCAATTTTCATGCTCAGGTAAGAGGTTTTTAGTTTTGTTTTAAACTTTTACATGTTTAAGACAAGTTTCAGTTTTTTATTTTGCTACAGGTTTGAAATAAAAAGGTAAGGATGTAATGACAACTCTTGGGATTATTAAGAATAAATTACGTTCTTGATGTGATCATAAGAGTTTAAATTTCAGAGTCTACTTAATCTTTTTTTCTTAAAGATAATTAATGAAATATAATTCTGCTGCCCTTTCTTGAAAATACTTATTTTGGAAATGGAAGGAGTGAGATGAATTTAGCCATATATTTTCCACATAAGCAGTTCTCTTACCCAAAAATCACCTAAAGTTGTCTTCTTGCTGTATATCTTAAAATTGCTTACCACTGGATGCGTCAGATAGTGAATGCTGAGTAAATGTTAGCTGTTAAATATATTGTGGTACAAAGGAATCCGTTAATTCTGTATTTATGTGAGGAGATTAGTGTAGCAGTGCATTTATTGAGCTAACTTCCTTTCATACCCTTCTCTTTGGCGTAGAATGTATATTATTTTAGGAAGCAGAGGCAGAATCAAGTCCATTGGCTCTTGAAAGTGAATGTGGACTCATCTAAAAGGCCATTGCCATTTGTTACCACTCTCAGATCAGGGACGGCTTAGGCCAGGAGATCATCCAGTTTTCATATTTATGGGTGCTAAAGTTCCCAGTTTCCTAAGTAATAATCGGCATCATTCTAGTTTGGAAGGAGGGAAAAAAGTAAAGAAGTCTCAAAGAGGTCTTAGTGATCATCTGTCCCAACCTTTCTCACTTTACAGATAAGCAAACAAACATAGATAGAAGTAACTTACTATTTTAAGGTTGGCAGGAGTACCAGGAGTAGAACACAATATCCTTAATCTTCATCCGGAACTGTTTTACTTACTCTGAGTACATTTCTTCTTTTGATAGGCGTTTAAGTTATAGTCTCCACCTTAAATGATAGTCTGGACATCCAGTCACATGCACACATATTTACTTTTATTTCTGATTTCTTGAGTCTTCCCAGGAAAAGTCCTATCTCTTAATCTAATTTGTGGAATCCTCCAGAGACTGATTTTTTTTTTCTTTTAAAGATTTTATTTATTTACTTGACAGAGATCACAAGCAGGCAAAGAGGCAGGCAGAGAGAGAGGAGGGGAAGCAGGCTCCCCACCGAGCAGAGAGCCTGATGCGGGGTTCGATCCCAGGACCCTGGGATCATGACCTGAGCCAAAGGCAGAGGCTTTAACTCACTAAGCCACCCAGGGGCCCCCAGAGACTGATTTTTTAAAATCATTTATAGGGTTTTTTATTTGGGAAAATGCTTTGTGAATTATAGGGACTAACTTAAAACATAGGTTTAGAGCCAGATCAGTTTATAACTTGAGGCTTTTCTTTTCCTGACTGTGAGAACCTTTCTTTCAAATTTAATTTGTAATAATACTGTATAGTCATTGTAGTGTGACTGGGTTAGTGTGGATAACTGGATGAGCTCTGATATGGGCTGGATGGAAAGAGAAGGGAGCTTGTCCTGGTCTTGCCATTTACCAGCTGTGACACCACACAGCTATTTAAGCTCTTAAGTCTGAGTTTCCTCACCTACAAAATAAAGATAATATTACTCAATTCACAGGGCTATTGGTTAGAAATATTTCCTAGAATAGTAACAGGTTATACAAAGAGTGTTGTTATATTGACTTAGTATAGTATTATGACTTTCCATTTTGTTGAATAGGTGGTGGCTAGCTTCTGAATGAGGATTTTTAGTGTGTTAATTTAGGATAGGGAGTTCAGCAAATACTGAAGATCAAAAATTAGCACAAATAAGTTATATACAGATAAGGAGTTGACTAAATTATGATATATGGACATAGTGGGAGATTACTGAGCCATAAAAGGAATGAAATACGGGTACATGCTGATGCATATGGTGCGGATGAGCCCTCAAAACATTACGTTGAGTGAAAGAAGCTAGATGCAAAAGCTCCCATATTATATGATTTCATTGACATGAAATAATCAGAATAGGTATGGGTGGCTGCCAGGACCTGTGGGAAAAAGACCTGCAGTAAACATGGGGGGGTGCAACTATCTGTTCAATATAGTGATTTCATTTCCTTTGGTTTAATACCCACAAGTGAAATTGCTGCATCATATGATAGCTTTGTTTTTCATTTTCAATTAAAAATTTTTTTAAAGATAAACTTTTTGAAGCTTTTGTTAAACTGATTTTTTTTTAAGATTTTATTTATTTGACACAGAGAGAGAGAGAACAAAAGCAGGGAGGAAGGGCAGAGGGCAACAGAGAAGCAGGCTCCCCGCTGAGCAGGTTTCTTTTGGGTATGTATATAAGATTGGGATTTCAGGATCAAAAAGTACGCACATGTTTAGCTTTACTAGATACTACAGGTTTTCCAAAGTTATTGTACCAGTTTACATTCCCACCAGCCCTGTTCCACATCTTTGGCTATCTTGGTTAGTGTCTGTCTTTTTCATTTTAGCCATTCTGGTCGCTGTGGAGTAATATCTCATTGTGGTTTTAATTTGCATTTCTCTGATGACTAAGGAAGTCAAGCGCCTTTTTTTATAATTATTGTTCAATTGGATATCCTCTTTCTAAAACCAATTAGTGTACTCTTTTGTACATTTTCCTATTGGCTTTTCTTTCTAATTAGTTTGTTGGACTTCTTAATACATTGTGGATGAGAATCTTGTCAGCTATATGTATTGTAAGGATGTCCTCTGAGTGAAAAAACTCTTAAGAGTGTCTTTGATGGTATCTAGTGGAGTAAGTATCAGTTTTGCTGTTCTTCAAGATTTTCTTGGCTCTTTATATTTCCGTATAAACTTTACAGTTAGCTTGTCTGATTCCACAGAAAAATCTGTTTAGGATATTGATTGGGATTACATTGAAGCTGTAGTTCAAATTTGTGTAGAATCGGTGTCTTTATAATACTGAATCTTCCAGTCTGTGATCATGGTATTTCTCTTCATTTGTCTTTTTTTTCCTCTCAATAATATGTATTTTTTTTTCATCCTATAGATCTTACACATCCTTTGAGATTTATTCCTGGGTGTTTAAGGACTTCATTTTATTGATCACTCTTTTTGAGAACTTGGAAGCTCTGAGTGCCTTTTAGAATATGACATTAACATTCATCTTGAGAAACTGAAAATGTGTCTTGTGCCTTCCTTCTCTTCCAGCATACTCCTTCCCCTTATCTATGCTATTATTGTGCATCATGCATGCATGTTAGTAGAATCACATAGTGAAGCTATGCATTTTGGTGATGGCAAATGAATTAGCCTACAGACTGCTAGGTGAATTTGTTTTCACCAAAAGAATTGGTTGACGTAATGTTAATTGAACTAGTTGTGATTAGTATTCTGGGGGAGCAAGGAAAGGAGGTATCAGTCTTGGAATATAGTTTAACTTAATATCAACCATAACAAAGACAAGTTATGGAAAATAAAGCCAAATTCATGTTCCAGCCTGATGATTTGGTCATGACTTCGTGTTAACAGGTTCAAGGGGTTAGGTTCAGTAGAACCTGCTCTATTTGAGAAAGAGTGATTTTTACAAAGCAGAGGAAAGCAGAGCTGTAGAGAAGTTCTGAATCTTAAAATTTTGTAATCCAGTAACTACCCTTTAATTCCCCTTTCTACCTTTTATATTCTGAAAAACCTTTGATCCAATCAAAACCAGTCTGAAAAGCATTATTCAAAAGATCTAGAAACATGTGAGAAGAAATAATTGAATGAGTTGATAGCTAAGGGTGCAAATCTGACCTTAGTTGTTTTTACCTAATCTTAGTTTGGAAAATATATTTAATAGCATTAAAAAAATCTGTGTAATGAGTTAGCACTATTTTAGTGGATTAAACAGTATATATTTTAATGTATCATTAATAATAATAATTATATTAATTGCACAATTAACTATTATATAACATATTTATATGTTGAATATATATTTTATAATAAAATTCTTAAACATTTTATTTATGATAAGAATCTTTGATTTATATTAATTATATAATTATTATATAGTATTTATATATAAAATAATTATATAATCAATTACATAAATAATGTATCGATATAATAAATGATTATGGATTAATAATTAAGATATATATTCCAAGTTCTCTTGTATTCTAATATTGTACTCTCTGCATATATTGAAGTTTGAAATGTAAATAAAACTTCATTAATTTCAGTGTTAAAAGTCTTCATATGCCCAAGTTTAGATCAGACCCAGAGGGGCACCTGGGTGGCTCAGACAGTTAAACAGCTTCTGCCTTCCACTCAGGTCATGATCCCAGGGTCCTGGGATCGAGCCCCACATCATGCTTCCTGCTCAGCAGGGAGCTTGTTTCTCCCTCTCCCTCTACTGTTACCCCTGCTTGTGCTCTCTTACTCTCTCTATCAAATAAATAAATAAAATCTTAAAAAAATAAAATAGATCAGACCCCAAGAATTAATACCACCAGCAGGGTAACTGTATATGATGACATAACTGTTACTGCAGCTATTGATAATGCACTATGGTGACCCTGACTACCAGTGGCTTGTAGAACCCAAACTAAGTCCATCTTCATGAGATTAGTTTCTTTCCTTCTCCCTCCATCCCTTCCTCCCTCCTTCTCTTTCTTCCATTCATCCATCCATTCTTCCTTCCCTCCCTTCCTAATTAAAATCTGAGCAACCAAAATTTAACCAAAATTCGTTTGCCCTCAGTTAAGTTGAAACTAAAAGATGACAAATTATGTAGCCATTTCTATGATCTTTATAGTAATAGTGTTTATGTTTGTAATAATTACTCTGTAGTTGTCACAGAAACTCATTTTTGTACCTGTTTAGCTTTTATCCTTAAAACATTTGAGTTTTTTTTGGTGGCTTTGTGTGTATATATGTATACAACAGAGTAACACACACGCAGACGACACACACACGACAGTGACAGGATCAGGGCATCCTAGTCTGAATTCTTTTGGTTTTGGAATTATTTTTACTTGTATAATAATGTTTTCCACCTTCATCTTTATCCTTGTGAGTTCCCTGAAAAATTTAAAAATGATGTGGAATTATATATTAATAGGTCATGTCATTTCTCTAATGTTGTGGCTCTGAGGTTAGTGATAAAATGTCACTCAAACTGTATGATAAAAGTCTTTGAGAATAGAAACCTATACACGGATTTTTATTTTAAGTTTGTAACCTATCTGTATCAATTCTTTTCCTGTAGAAAACAAAACCCTGAAAACGTAATAGCTTAAAGTGATTTCTCACAGTTCTTTGGGCTGTCTGGAGTGTTCTTATGGTCTTTGTTATCTTGTCTGGGGCTGGATGATCTCTTTCACGTCTGGTGGTTGGCAGATCAGTTGGGAGATCTTGCTGTATGTCTGGTGGTTTGGTGCAGTGTCACCTGGAGTGGTGATCATATTTCTTTCATCATGTAGCGGGTTAGCCTGGGCTCATACACATGATGGTTGTGATAGAGTTCCATAGAGCAAAGAGAATGCAATCCCCAGTGACAAGCCTCTGCTTGTGCTGTGTTTGCTAATGTCCATTGGCTAAAGGAGGTGAAATGGCCAAACCCACATTCAGTTCATGATGTTAGGACTGGTGCAGTCATGTTGCTCAGAAGTGAGCATACATACTTGAGAAGAATTTTTGGCCATTTGCAACCTCCACATTTGTCCTAGTTTTACTACCAGCTCCATTTTGTTCAAATACTCATTTGATAGCAGGGAAACAAAAAAGGGAAGTAATACAGGAGTTTTGTCTGTCAAGGAATAAATGAGATTTCTTTCTTGTCAGCTCTGTATTTAATCAGCATATACTCTGAGCCCTGCAGTTAGAGCTGTGAGAATATGAAAACTGGAGCAGTTGTCTTCGAACCACGCTTTCCCTTCCACCAAACTCTAAATCTTGTTTTTATTTTATCCTGGTTCCAAGTGGTTTGTATCAAATAACTTAGGTCAAGGTGTTAACTCATGACTAAGTGGCTAATATTTTAATAGTAAACAATTATTAAATCTGATCTGATCTTTTAAGCTTTGCCCCTCTGCAAAATGAAGAAAGAATTAACTTTTTGCTGGGGTCATTCACTGTGCTAGGGAATAAAGATCATTTGATATGCCATCTTTGAACCATTGGCTACCTTTGCACTACATTCTTATTTTGACCATTTGTGCCTGTCACATCTTCCTTGAATGCTTATGAGCTGACCTGTACAAAATAATACTGTGGTAGGTACAGATGCTCTGATTGAGAAAGGGGACTTTTTCCTTTATTGTACTAATTTTAAAATGAATAATAGCACTTTCATGCTTATTTTAGTTGAAGTTATATGGATATTTTTGAAATAGAATGTTGACTAAATGTTACTACTACCGGTTACATTTTGATTTGAAAGGCTAGGCCAGATGTGATGGGAGATGGCTCCCTCTTGTGGCACACTCATTTATGTTAGATTTTAGATTGCCGAATAAGAATGTGAGGAGCTGAACTGTTTCTTAAAATAAGACTTTCCCTCTCTTTTACCCCTCCCTCAAAACACCCGGCAGAATTGAACCAATAGTCTCTTCTGCCCTCACCCCCTCAATTTTTTTTCTGATAACTCTCCTGTTTTTGTATTTGCTTCAGATCGCTCACTATTATTCAGTGGAACTTTTGATGTCTTGAGATGTTGATTGGTATGCTATAACAACTGAGAAAAACAGATTGGAAATCAGAATACTTTGTGTAATACTGAGCCAAATAAGTTATGTTTACTGTAAAACTTCTCAGAAATGTCAGTAATAGTCAGTGTGTCTGGTTAAATTCCCAAACAGAAGAGTTTTCCAAACTTAACTGGACTATATAGAATCCTCTTTTCAGGGGCTGTGATATCAGGAAACATATTTTCGGAAACAGCAAGTTGTTTCAAGTGAGTCATTCTTCATGGTTTTTTGAATTACTTATTACCATATTTGCTTCTTCCTTTGTTGTAGCAATTTTTATGCATAAAATAAAACAGTTTTAAGTCTTACAGATTTTTGGCATTGTATTCCCTGTCAGAAAAGCTATTTTACTCTTTTTGTAGCAGGCTGACCACAGAGTCATAAGGTTTTTTGTTTGTTTTAAAAATTACTTTTCAAGTAATGAATAATGAATAGGATTTTAGTTTATTTTTTAAAGATTTTATTTATTTCAGAGAGTGAGTACAAGCTTGAGTGGGGGAAGGGACAGAGGGAGAAGCAGACTCCCCACTGGGGGTGGGGGGTGGGGGCGGTAGCCATGCAGGGGCTCAAACCCAGGATCCTGGGATCATGACCTGAAACGAAGGCAGAGGCTTAACTGACTAAGTCATCCATCCAGGAGCCCCTTGGATTTTAGTTTAAACATAATTAAACAGTTCATTTTTTGTTAACCAAAATTTCTGAGATTTTGTTATTGGCACTTACTGGCAGTGGCTACAAGAAGTCTCTTATTTCTTGTTTTTTCTTTCCCTTTATAACATTTATAGAGAATGTATGAGGGGAAAGATAAACATGCAGTAATGATGTTGGTAGGTGTTTTGGTGGGGGTGGGGAAGGTGGGGGGAGGAGCTGTAGGGAGGAGATTTAGATTAAAAATGGCCAATCTGTTCTAACAAGCACTATTTAAATGTGAACTATTGAAATATAAGCATTTGCAAGTATATAAATAAATATTGTTTCTTTTACTGTATTGTCTTTTGAAAGAGCTATATTTAAATTGAGAGGAAAAATATGTGTACTCTTTGTAACTGCATTTTTCTTTTAGGAAGCATGTAGGATATGTTTTAAAGCAGTGACATATTTGGTATTTTTTAGTAATTTTTTAAACTGCATTAGAAAACTGATGGTTTGATTAATGTTTACTGAAGTAAAAAAAAAAAATACAGTAATCTCATGTCCAGTATCATCAGGATGTGAGGTTTTTCAGATAGGTGGTTTTTCTAGATAATGGAATTCTTTAGTTTGGGTACCAAGATTTTAATGAAGATAACTTTTTTCAGTCTAGGCTTGTCATTATGATGCTATGTATGCTTGCTTCTTGCTACTCCTCCCCCTTCAAATTTGTAGTTTCTTACCCTTTATGATTTTAGAGATCAGTGAGAATTCTACCTAATGTAGAAACGCATGTCAGAAGAGACCCTTTTATGAGTCATGGTCTTAAGGCATTTATTTCAGGCTCTCTAGAGATTCTTTAAACCCTTATCTGTTTCCTCTCCTAACCCACTGCCCTTGAGTTGTAATACTTGGGTAAATGAGTCTTGAAGAATTGAGGCTTTTTATCTTATGATATTGTAAATTTAATTTCATTCCATGTGAAAGGAGTATTTGTTACATAGTATTTAATAAAATAGGCGTCACCTGAATCAAGAACTATTTATATTTTTCTGAGAGGTATGTGGATTGTATTCTTATATTTTGTTTTATCTGCATATGTGCCATCTGTATATTTTACCAAGAGATAGATATTGTTTTAATTTGATTGCATTGTTATATGTAATTTGTCATGTTTAAAACACTAATGATTCCAGCTGACTTAGTGTATGTTTGAATATTGGGTTATTAAACTAGAAAGTTGAGTTGAATGGTATATAAGTAAAAGTTACATTACAGCGCACTTTATTTATTTATTTATTTATTTATTTATTTAGGAGATAGAGTGGGGCAGAGAGAGAGAGGGAGAGAATCTCAGGTAGACTTCCCACTGAGCATGAAGCCCACCTGGGGTTTGATCTCATGATCCTGAGATGATGACCTGAGCCAAGATCAAGAGTTGGGTGCTTAACTTACTGAGCCACCTAGGTCCCTCATGAAAGGAAGTTGTTTTGCTTTATAAAGATTCTTGTTTCCTAACATTAGGATATGAAAAGGCATAGATTTCTTTGCAGGATTTAAATGTGCTTGCCAGAATTCAGGTATCAAGATTCCTTTATTTTATTTTTTTAAAGTGGGTGGGGAGGTGTAGAGGGAGAGGAAGAAAATCTTAACTGACTAAGCCATCCATCCAGGAGCCCCTTGGATTTTAGTTTAAACATAATTAAACAGTTCATGTGGGGCTTGATCTTATGAACTTGAGATCACGACCTGATGCAAAATGAAGAGTCAAATGCTTAACTCACTGAGCCACCCACATAACCCCAGGTATCAAGATTCTTGAAGTGCAGGTTGTTTTATTTCAGTTGATACTTGAATGCTACCCATTTGCTAGCATTGTGCAGGTGGCTTTACAGCTTTATGTAATTACTAAATTTCCTTCAGCAGTCTGAGGTAGATCATTCCACTAAAGGAAACTAAAATTCAAGGAATTCATGTGATATCTGAAGGTCACATAGCTGTTAGATAGTAAAGATAGAGTTGGGACTTAGCACTCCTGATTCTCAATCTCTAGTAGCTTTTCACAGAATAGTTAACCACAGAAATGCAAACTGGATCCTAATTAATATGGTATGATCTAGAAGGGAAGATCATTCCTAGTGGCCTTTCAGACATACAAACCACTGGTAATGGTTAAATATAACATTTCAGGGAGACTACTTTTAGAAATTCCAATAAAAGATATGAACTGTTTAGGAAAATGTAGGTATATGAACTTTTGACTATAACTTTCATTGGCCTTATAGGTCAAATAATAAGCTGTACTATGAGGAGAAGTTATAGTCTGCTATCTAGAATTATGCTGTGTATCTTACCTGTGTTTTCATAAGCAGTGCATAGGAATAGCTAGAGAAGGTAAACTATTTTGCCCTGGTATGGATTTTTTTTCATGCCTTATTTTTAATTTTATTTTTTTACTGTTTGTAAAGGCTTTTTGTTCTGATTTGCTTACCTCACCTTACATTCTAATATTCTCAGACAGCATAATTTGGTGTTACACAATGATAGCAAGCATTGTCTTATTTATAACCTTTAATTAAATCTGTATCCTTCAGGTAAAAAGAACATATTCTCACGGTACTTACAGAGCTGGCCCAATGCGACAGATCAGCTTGGTGGGAGCAGTTGATGAAGAAGTGGGAGATTACTTCCCTGAGTTCCTTGACATGTTGGAAGATTCACCATTTTTAAAAGTAAGAGAAAACAATATTAAGCAGTCTAAATTGTGGGTGTCACCTTCATGCTCTGGGTGACAGAAATCATAGTTGTTTCAGAAATACAATTCTTATATAGTGTGTGTGCATGTGACTCAGATATTAATTATAAGGGCAGAGCTAAGTGTTGAACCAAAAAATAACACTTGCTTATTGCTGCCACTTTAGGATATTAGGTTCCATCTGTATATTGACTTTTTATAAACTTAAGTACCAGAGGATTTAAGAAGTACAGGAAGGATGCCTACTAAATTAACTGTTTAGGACAAAGGAATGGCAATTTGGTATTGTGGAAAACTGGCTTGGGAAATTGTACATCTGTATTTTAATCTTGGCTCTACCTAGCTGGGTTGGGCAAGCCATTTCAACTTTCTGGATTTAGTTTCTGCATCCATAAATGTCGTGTTTAGGCTAGGTAGCTTTAACGCCCCTTTGAATTCTTTAAATGATTTCTAGCCAGATTCTTTTTATTTTTTTCAGTTATCTCTGCATTCTAGAAAAATTTTTCTTCTTGTGGGCTGTTAGGGCTGTCCCATTGAGAGAGAAATTTCTGAGCTATGTAGTTATTTAATTAGTAATTCAGAGGTCAGAATGTGACAGAATACATGTCTCTAATATTTGCTATATAACCTGTTGTAGATCTATTCTTTTTTCACTTCTTGTTCCATTTTCTAACTTTTTCTAACTTACCTTTTTCACTCTAATCCATTCCCCTTTCATTTACTTTTTTATTCCTTTTAAACCTTTTGTTATTTTTTTTCCCAACTAGTGACATTATGGAATTTGATTGCATTTATTTTGAGTGGCATTTTTTAAATACCATTAATTAAATATTTTAGTTTTAGATTTTAATTTTAATTTTTTATTTTTTTAGAATTTTTTAAAGATTTATTTATTTGACAGGCAGAGATCACAAGTAGGCAGGGAGGCAGGCAGAGAGAGAGAGAGATGGAAGTAGGCTCCCTGCTGAGCAGAGAGCCCGATGCGGGGTTCCATCCCAGAACCCTGGGCCCATGACCTGAGTTGAAGGCAGAGGCTTTAACCCACTGAGCCACCCAGGCGCCCCAGATTTTAATGTTAAAGACAAATGAGCTAAATGCATTCTTTTAGGAAAAATTTCATGTGACAGTCCTACCCTTTCTTAAAAGGGAATGGGATGAATGGACGGTTTTCTTAAATACTATTCTCACATTCCATGGACAATGGCCCTTAGACATATCTCTATTTTTTTAAAAGAAAAGTTGCTCTTAGATCAGCAACCTCTTTCAGGAACTACTAAACAGAAATAAATTTTGATTTTGATTTGGTTTTCCTCTTTGTTAGGTTTTCATTATAGCTAATCAAAGAGGTATCTTTTTTTGAGATTACTAGTTTTTAAAACAAATTTTTCATTTTTATAGATTCTCATGGAGAACACTTGCTTATTTTGCCAACTTATTAACATCATGTGACCCTTGTATTTGGTAGAAGGAAGAATAACAAATGATGAATATAGTGAGTCATATTTCTGGCAGGGTTAGAGGAGGGAGCCATGCAAGAATAATTACTCTTGGCATGTTTGTAATGAAATTTTTGAAGGAAAATGCATGACTACACAGGGATATATTCAATATAGGTTTGTATTTCAAATGTATAAGTATAAAGGCATATATGAAAGTTTGTCGGGGGGGCAGTATTCTTTCATGTGTATTTGAAGATGCATTTTGAAAATAATTGGTTTCTATGTAATTATTTGCCTCTAGTGTACACTGCCATGGGGGACACTATCTAGTCTAAAATTAGAGAGTCGAAAAGACAGTGATGATGGTCCCATCATGTGGGTACGCCCGGGAGAACAAATGATCCCTGTGGCTGATATGCCAAAGTCACCTTTCAAAAGGAAAAGGTATGTTGAATACAAATTTTTATTGCCAGGGATAGATGTTTATACAAGGGCGTGTGTGTGTTTGTGTGCGTTAGCTGAAAACTGGAGAAGGAAAAAAGGGAAAGTTAAGAGCATTTGGAATGAAAAGGGCTACACATGCTAATGAAATTTTTAATAAAATATCAAATATAAATAAGGCTTGAGAAATGTGGGCAAATGACAGTAAATTGTAATTAGGAATGGAAAAAATGTCATTTACAACAAAGACATTGGTAACTTTTAGAATAAGTTTAATAAAAAATATTTAGAACCCATATTGAGAAAAACATCATCTGGAGGATATAAAGTAATACCGAAACAAATGAAAACCCCTACTATGTTCCAGATTGGAAAAAAAATGATAGTCCTTTGAAATTTTTTAGCATTTTAGTTGAACTCACACTTCCAGCACTGGATTTAATGATTTTAAAGTTTAGAAGGAAAAATAAATAAAGTCAACAAATAGCCAGGAAAACTGTGAAAGAGAAGATAAGTGAGGAGGGCCTTGTGTTACTAAGTATTAAAAATAACTATGAAGCTCAAAAAGATCACTGGAATAGGGTAGAGGACCCAAATAGATCAAAGTATATTGAGAACTTAATGTATGAGATAGACAGCAAAAGGAAGATTTATTTAATGAGTAATGCTGGCATAGTTGAAGTCCATTTGAAAGAAAACAAAGCCATAGCCCCATCTCATTCAAGAAGTAATTTTGAGATTTAAACATAATAGATAAAAAATTAAAATATAAGAATAAAGTTTTTAAACCTAGGAGAGACCTTTCTTTTCTTCTTTCTTTCTTTCTTTTTTTTTTTTTTTTTAAAGATTTTATTTATTTATTTGACAGAGAGAGATCACAAATAGGCAGAGAGGCAGGCAGAGAGAGGGGGGAAGCAGGCTCAAGCAGAGAGCCCGACATGGGGCTCGATCCCAGGACCCCGAGATCATGACCCGAGCCAAAGGGAGAGGTTTTAACCCACTGAGCCACCCAGGCGCCCCTAGGAGAGACCTCTCTAAACAAGATAAAAATATGTAATGACAATACTATTTATAAAAGAAAAGTTAACAAAGTTCAGAACTATGTTATACTGAACTAAAACATTTGTAATATATGACAGACTAAAGTTAATATCATAGAGCATTCCCAAATTGACAAGAAAAATGTAACACAACCCAGTAAAAAAATGGGCCTCAGCCAATTATATTGAAAGAATTATGAGATACTATTTTTACCTATTACATTGGCAAAAGAATATGCAGCAATAATATTACTGGCTGGTAGTTATGTGAGGGAACAAGATCATTTATAAATTGTTGGTAGAAAGGTAATTTAACAGTAGCTCATGAAGTTTAACACACAGACGCGCATCCATGCACACACACACACTCTCTCTCTCTCTCTCTCTGATCCAGCGCTACCACTTTTGGAAATCTGTCCCAAGATATGAAAGCACTAAAGGTAAATGTATAAGAATATTAATTACAGCATTATTTGTCATGAGAAAAAGTGTTTAAAATGGTCTGAATGCCCATTAACAGTGGAATGGTTGACTTCATTTTGGTACATTCCAATTAAAAATACGGCAAAATAAAATCTTAAAAAGCAAAACAAAACAAAAAAACCCCAATATCCATTCCTTTGGGGCTCCTAGCTGGCTCAGTCAGTGGAGTAGGAGACTCTTGATCTTAGCATTCTGAGTTTGAGCCCCACTTTTGGTGTAGAGATTACTTAACAAAAGAAAATCTTAAAAGAATCTATAGTGAAAAAGTACAAATAAATGAGTTATTTATGTGTGTTGATCGGGAAGGATGACATTTGAAAAGAGCAAAATAAGAGAGTAGTATGGTACATAGTCTGAGTCTGTTTGTATGAAAAGAAATGTGTGTGTATTTAGGTGAACACAGAAAAGTGTGGAAAAAATGTACACTGAGTTAACATTGGTGGGAATGGAGTGGGTGATAGATACCTTTATTTAGATCTATAAAGATGTTTTTTTATTAATTACAGTGATTATTAATCTTAAAAGAAAAAAACAGGGAAAATGGTCACTAAGTAAACTGTAGGACAGGGGCTATGTGTGCTTGTTACTTAATGTGTTTCTAGCACATAAACAGAGTGCCTGCTGCTTAATAAATATCTTTTGAATGAAATTTCTACAAGTTAATTTGTAAGTTGGTAGTAAATGATAAAATTGTATGTTCCTCAGTGGTTCTTAACTTGGATTTATAAATCATTTTGAGATCCGAAAGCCTCTCCCCAGAACAAATACAGACATCCACAAAATTTTACATGTCATTTAAGGGAATTCACCAGCCCTCTGAGTAAACTGTTTGTACTTCAGGGATTAAAATCCATGTAAATGTGATGATTTCACATCACATTATAGTCTGAGCAACTAATAACACTGCCCAAGCCACGGTGCAGTCTTAATTCATTAGAATGTGGTATTAATGAGAACAAAGTTGTAGGCATGAAAGCCTGCTGGCTTTCTGTAGGTCATCATCTAGCTCTCTGACACCTATAGAACATCAATCACAAAGGTTGAGAAGGTGAAAGGTGATGTTGTAGCATCACTGGTGTGTGCATGTGTCTGTGTGTGAGTGTGTAATATGACCGTAATACAAGCATACATACACAAAGAGCAGTAAAAGTAGAGCTTGGGGGGGGATTAGAGAACTAATATGACAGAGTGATTCCAGGTAAATTAAAGAACTAGTAAGAAAAGAATGAAACTAGGGAAATTAGAGAACTAGTAAGAAAGAGTGATTCTAGGGGTTTAGACGAAGATGAGAGGAGAAAGTTACGGGGTCAATCTGGAGTTGTCTCTGAAAGCAACAGAGAAACTGTACAGAAAGGTAAATAAGATGATGACTCCTAGTCAAAGAAATTCTCAACCTTTTCCCCTTCTGTAGCTAAATTAGAGAGGGTTTTTGCACTAAATGAGGCTAAGTAGCAGCTTCTGTGTGCATATCTAGGTGAGCAATAGAATAGAGTGCCAGTGGCAGATGGTTGGTTGTCCTGTAAGAGGGAACTAAGGTTTTCTGTCTACCTCCAATAAATCCTGCCCATTTTGTGGAAACACTTACTATTTGGTGTTTTCTTGCTATTTACTTGTTGGTCTTTCTCTCACTGGAGTATGAACTCCCACAAAAGTGGGGAAATTGTCTGTTACCTTCATTACAATCTTTTTCACTAGCTGCAGTGCCTAGCTAGATAGGACCTGGTATATAATAGGTATTCTATAAATATTAATTAATACATTTTTTTTACAAGTTCTGTTTTTCCCCGGATATGTATCTTACATTAGCCATGTGGCTTGAGTGGGGGCATGGTTCCACAGATAAGACCCAAACAAACCTCAGGTAAAGATTCTGGACAGGGGAACTTTTGGGTAAACCACACCATCTATAATTTAGTTGTCTATCCATCTTACAGCTACCACTTCCATGAAGGGTATGTTAGAAAAAGGAGGGGATTATATATTTGTTTTTGTTTGTACTTGTTAATTTTAAAGATAGAACCTGATTTGGGAGCTGGTGATATAAAATTTCATTCTGTCTGAATTATGTGATTACTAAATGTTTCATGGCAGTTAAGCCTCAGTACATCAATACAAATGTTTGAAGGCAATTAAACCTTAATATATAGTCCTGACTCTTTCTCTCCCCTCCTCCACTTTATATTATATATATGTAATTTTATTTTAACAGAACTACCAATGAAATAAAAAACCTGCAGTACCTACCTCGAACCAGTGAGCCCCGTGAGATGCTCTTTGAAGACAGGACAAGAGCCCATGCAGATCATATAGGACAAGGTTTTGAACGACAGACTACAGCTGCTGTTGGAGTGTTGAAGGCTGTGCACTGTGGAGAGTGGTATATATTAACTACTGCTTTTTTTGTTTGTTTTTGAACTACTGCTCTTTTAATGAAAGGTTTTCTTGGGAAGTTTGTCAGTAATTCTCCATAAGGAAAGTTTCATTCTTCACTATTATTTGGATATCCTAATTGTATAATTGCACTAAAGGTTTTCAGCTGTTAGAAAGTAGTTTTATTCTTTTGGGTTTGACTGTAATAATTTCCTTTTCTAAGTGACTAGATGTGAAAACAGTTGTCTTAACTAAGGTTAAAGAAAACCTAAGGTTCACTTGGTGCTTACTGTATTGTCATTGTCCCTGATGAGAAGCCTGCATCATTCTTACCCTTCTTTCCCCGTGTATTAATGTAATGTATAAGGCTTAGTTTTTAAAAAAAATTTTTTTTTTAAGATTTTGTTTATTTGAGAGGGAGTGCAACATGAATGGGAAGGAGAGGGAGAAGCAGGCTACCTGCTGAGCAGGGATCTCAATGCAGCACTTGATCCCAGGACCCTGGGATCATGACCTGAGCCTAAGACTGAACCACCCAGGAGCCCTAATGGTTAGATTTTATCACAGGTTTTTAAAAATCTGTTTATGATTTGCGTTGGTATGATTTTGGGGGGGGGATTATATTGCTTGGAATTTCATTTCAGAATCCATTTTTTATCATCTTCTGTAAAAATTGTTTATATATTGCTAATTAATTTAAGAATTTGGGGATTTTTTTTTAGAATTATATTTAAAGATACTATTAACCCCTACAAATAGATTGATAGTAGTTTATTAGCACTGTTCTAATGAATGTCTCTTAATTTATAAGGGTTACCAAGGAATTTTAGATGTAACTGCAGTTATATATGTCTTTATTAGAAGAAAGTATTCTTTTCGCCCCATATTTACCTCTAATTTTTATGTAGTAGTTTCATCTTCATCATTTAATTTGTTGAAGTATTGACCTTTAAGATAAAGCCCTTAGTTTTTTGATTTACATAATTAACCAATTCAAATTAATTTAATTTTTAAAAATACAGTTGTACATAGCTATAATAAATGAAGTTAGTTTTATTTATGTTTAGGTTAAAACTCATGGTTTTATTTATGTACAGTGATCTTCTAATTAACATTTTAACTTTATTTCTAGGTACTTTTGTTTTGACTACAAACTATTTTTGCTTTAAATTTAATAAGGACTTAACAGAACAAAACGTTGATGGAAGAATTCTTCATTATCTCATATTCTTTTTTAGGCCTGCTCAACCCCGAATAACCAAAGATGTAATTTGTTTTCATGCTGAAGATTTCTTAGAAGTAGTTCAACGAATGCAGTTAGATTTACATGAACCTCCACTGTCCCAGGTATATCTTAAACCGTTATTGTCTTCAGTTTAATTTTTATTGTAGAAAAGACTTAATGGTATTCCTCTTTATTTTTTTAGTGCGTCCAGTGGGTTGATGATGCAAAACTTAATCAACTGAGGAGGGAAGGCATCCGCTATGCCAGGATTCAGCTGTATGATAATGACATTTATTTTATTCCAAGGAATGTTGTTCATCAGTTTAAGACAGTTTCAGCAGTGTGCAGTTTAGCATGGCACGTTCGGCTCAAATTATATCACTCAGAGGAGGAGACTGCTCAGAATACAGCTACTCATGAAACAGGCACATCACCAGATTCCACATCATCAGTTCTTGGACCTCACACGGACCACGTGGTTTGTGCTGTAAGCAAAACCTCCTTGGATTCTAATTTTTCAGACAGACTTCATTCTAAATCTGAATTACAGCAGATTAAACATGAACCTGTTGCATCTGTAAGAATCAAGGAAGAACCTGTGAATGTTTATATTCCTGAAAAGACTAGAGCACCGAATAATATGGATGGCAAGAATGTTAAAGCAAAATTGGATCATGTTCAATTTACAGAATTTAAGATTGAGAAGGACTCTAAATTTGAAAACAGAGATTTAAAGGAAGACTTGTGCCCTGGAAGTCTCATAAGTCTAGTTGATACGAGGCAACATAGTTCAGCACATTCAAATCAAGATAGAAAAGATGATGACATTCTGTGCTAAATTTGTACATACCATTTAAAATTCTTTTTTTTTTAAAGTTAATAATGTAATAAAGATTCATGAATTCTGAAAGCAAGCCAAGTACTTGCTCCCAAGTCTGTTACAAAATAGAGTTTATGTAGCTTTGTAACATTCCTCAGTGCCTGTCCATAACTGTGAAGGATCAAAGCACTTAGGGCCAGATGCACTGTAAACATAACAGGTTTAAACAAAAGGAGTCTTTAAGAATCATTTGATTTGGAATTGTAGGTTTTAGAATAGAGCTGACATTAACACACACACACACACACACACACACATATATATATATATATTTTTTTTTTTTGTAATATGAGCCAGAATTCTTTTTTGACAATTTAAGGCTTTTCCATAGAGCTTATTTATACCATTTTTTTTTTCATTTTAATGTGTCAGCACTGTAGTGTAAATAGCTTTTTAAAAATCTTTTTAGTGTGATTTATACAGAAATGTGAGCCACTTAATAAAGGTTCATAATAATAAATAGTTTTCTGTTGGGTCTGCAAAAAGACAAACTGACAATTCAGTTAAATCATTTCTTTGGTCTGTTATGTTTCTGCTGGTGTATCCATTTAGAGTGGTAATGGAGTGCAAATGTACGTATTCGAATCTAGTGAATATTTAAATTCCCCACACTGTGTAAGCATTTTTAAAACCAAGATTCAGTTATGAAAGCATATTTATATATGTGTGTATGTATGGGAATATATATAGATATGTATATCATATTTTGCATAACTTCTTAAATTGCTGAATAAGATGAATATGTGAATCTTCCTAGCCTCACTCCCTGGAATACATTTTAAAATATTTATATTCAACATTCAGAAAGCAGTTTAGCTAATAGAAGCAGTTTTATAAAGTTGGGAGAAACAAGGTCTGTTAGTGGTATTTAACTCTTCTAACTCATGAAGCTACATGGTCAGATCACATAGCCCTAATGTAAATCGTCTCTATAGTGTTTGGAATGAGAAAAAGTTGAGAATTTTCTTACTAATAAGCACCTGTACTATATTTAATAGTAGCTTAGTAAAAATCTGTAGTTACAGAATGTTCAGTAGTGAGCAGTTAAAATCCTCTTTTACATTTTTCTCGCAGAACAGGAGGAAAGTATGACAAATACAAAATCTTAAGGGCCATGACTCAACTGCCATATACAGAGATATAACTAACAAAATAAGATGCGTTACCTCATTTTTCTAAGGATCCTTCTCCCTGCCCTGGCAAGGTAAACAACTCAGAGTACTGTTTTGTTCTGTTTTCAAAAAAAGAGCTCTGGAAAGTAAAATTAGGATAGGAAACAGGATTCCCAGTGCCTAGCTAAAGATTAAAACAAATCTCTTCCGTGATGGACTTCAGCACTATTTGAGACTGCTTCCACTACTGTAATTAAAAGGCAAACAGATGTCTTTAATGTATGCTTTGATAACAGGAACTCTGCTCATTGGACATTTATTTTATTTATCTTTGGTATTTTTCTGGGCTCGTCCTTTGGTTGATGACTTTTAACTGAGATTCTTTGTGCTGTCTTTGGTTTAGTGTTGCTGTTGAAATTGTTTCTGCTCCAGCCTCATTTGTGGTACCCATAAAACTACTTACCTTTATGCTTAGGAAGAAGCCACTTAAGAGGCATTTCACCAGAAAAGATCAATTGCAGCAGTGAGGTCATTTCTGACCCACAGTTTAAAAGGGTTAGGCAAATATTGTAGGAAATCTCAATGGTTTATAGGAAATCAATATATTTGCAATATAGGAATTTTCATGGGATAAGGAAGGTATAAATCATATTGTAAATAGGGATTTGGTTTTATATGTTACCGTCTTAGTCTGCTCCTCACCACTTTAATCTTCTCTTTTAAGCTAAATTTATCATTTGCATCTACCTTTTGGAGAAAAAGTTCGTAACAAACCAGTATTGAGAAACAGGAGAGCATGTGGTTAAATGTTTCCTTTTTTTTTAAATTGAAGAGCAATATATTTAACAATATTTTAGTTTTCCAGTAGTATACACATAGATGCACGAGATCATACAGTAATAAAATGTCTTTAGGGTATCCCTCCAAAATATTTTGAGCCTTAAACTTTAAAGATGTATCTAAAACAACCACAGTGGTTGCTTTTAGGTATAGTTCCTTATATAACCAGTACTCAAAACTTCTCCATACTCTGAAAATTCAATGTTTTGTAAAATGCATTTTTACATTTGACAAAATGTATGCATTTAACAATATAAATATATGAAATATAAATCAGTGGGCTCAGATTTCAAGATACAGCTTTGTCACCTTGAATAAGGTAATATCCCTTGTCTTATGGGTTATAATTTTAAAATCCTCTTCAGATGCAATCTAAGAACTTGCTGATTACCTTTGTTAAACACAGATAATTTCTATTTCAATATTGCATTATATTAATGGTTTCCTAGTTACTACATTCCAGTTCTTTATCTGAACGTAAGTTTTTTTGTTGATTTTTCTAATTTCTTGGACTAGAACGATAAAGCACTTGAGATGTAGTTTCTGTATGATCTTATGCTATATAAATAGTCATCATGTAAATTATTAAACTGATACACAGACCTTTAAAAAAAACTAAGGTACCTCAGTGGTGTCTGCTACAGTGTTTGCTTTTTGTTTTTTTTTAAATTATTTTGGTTCATACCCTTTAGCTATTGAAGAAGTAGAATCTTTTCCATTCTCAGGTTAGCTGGTTAGCTAGCAAAAGAATTAAGCATTTGTGATATTTAGTTGAAAACTTGACTGAAGCCATATTCATTATCTCCCTTGTCCCTAAGGCTGCTGACCTTAAATAAAGATTAGGTTGATCTGGCACAACACTGTGTGTGTGTGTGTGTGTGTGTGTGTGTGTGTGTGTGTGTGTACGTACGCGCACATGAGAGAGATTATTGGAAATTCTTTGTTTATTCCCATATAGACTCATTTTCAATCCATTCTATAATGAGAAGGAGGGGTCAGGGTAGGACAAATTTTATTTGCAGGTATTTCATTAGTGTTCCTGAGTGTGAAATGGTTTTTTTCCCCAAATACTTCTTGCGGGTGAGATCATTTTTGTAAATAATAGATTAGCACTGTTTTGCTAAATTTGCATTCAGTTATTTTGTTGGACAAGTTTATTGTCATGTAAAGCAAATATCTAAAAATTCATTTTACATTTAGCAGAGATACAGGATTTGTTTTTAGAGTTTGAGAGGAATTTTCCTTGTCTTCCACCTTTCAATAAATACAAAAATTGATAACTGTAATCTTTTTACCTTTGTTTTGTATTATTTTCTTACATTTGACATTTTATTTTCATCTCGTCTTTAAAAGTTCTTGTTTCTGTCTTCAACTGAAACCGTAAGACCTTGAAAGTGATTTTAACCTGAAAGTCTTTTTCCTCTTAAAAATTATGAGAAGTTGACTCATATCCCAACCTAGAATATTGAGGATTACCTAAAGCAAGGCTGTTAAACTAGTTTGGTGTGGGTGCTGAGATGGCATGCCAAGTTACTTCCCTTTTCTCTAGACAGGACTATTTCTGTCCCAGGAGGGGAAGACAAAAGTGCATTGTTTTCAAAATACTTTTAATCTGGTAAAAAGTGACATGATGGATTTTAGGTCTTCAGAGTGATAGAAGAGCTCTTGACTATTAATCTTCTACCTGATGTAACTACGTTGATATGTAAAAACAGAATTTTACTGGTTTTAGAATGCCTTGTCTATTTCATGAAAGAGTTATGTTTGACATGTTCGGCTCTGACAGTGTACCTCAGATAAAATAATTAAAAGGATAACTCAGAGGAAGTATAAATTTCTATCTCTGCTCTGGCTTTTCTCTCTTTAACATACTGCATATTGCAGATGGAAACCATCACTTTTTAGAATGTCAAGCACAAGAGGCTAAAAGAGATGCCTTTTCTTCTTTAAGTTTATAGATGTTGTATGTCATATCTCTACTGGGAGATCAGGGAAAGGAGGGGATAATATCTTGCATTTCAGATTATCTTTCCTCTAGGACTGTAGACCTAATCAGGGAGTGTGAATGAGCTGAGAAAAAAATGCGGGCAAATATCATTTATGTTAATTAGAAATTAAAAGTAAAATTAAAACATACTACTTTTATTTGCCTTCCAAGAACTACACTCTTAAAATACGTCTGGATCCTTCCACATATTTTAAATTTAGAATTTATGCATCTGTATTTTTAAAATGTCTTATCTGTATGCTTCCCTATAAAGTTCTTTGCTTTGGTACTATTGAAGACTACAAACAGGCAGATTCAGAGACAAGTCAGTATATTTGCAAATATTTTGCATAATATGGTGCTTAAAAGTTTTATTTGGACAGGTAGTTCCACATCCTCCCTATACCCAAGTTTCTTCTTTGAAATTTTGTTTTTGTTTTTAACTGAGCCAGACATTTATGTGAAAAATCATGAGTCTATCTTCTTTAAAAAAAAAACAAAACAAACAAAAACTTTTCTTTAGTCTGGCTTTTGTTTATGCTATTGTTCCATACCTCTTCCTCAATGACAGAGTTCTTGGAAATCTCTGTCTGCCTTCACTTCCTCATTTCATTACAATTTGGTCTCAATCCTCAAATTTAATCACCCAGCTGAAGTGGTTCTCTCAAGGGTCACCTTTTGACTGCCAAATTCAGTGGACTCATTTTTTAATACTTCTGTTTCCTTATGGCACTTGTTAGCAATCTTTTACCCCCTCAAACGTTGTATGTATGACCTATCCTGTTTTGCTTTTCCATTTCTTTAGATGTCTTCTTTTGCCTTAGCCACCACTATTGAAAGCAGTCTCAGGTTCTTTAGGTCTCTGCACTTTGTCCCTGAATTATCTTCGTAACCCCATGACTTTAGTCTGCTGCTTGCAGCCCTCTGCCCCTGCCCCCATTCCAATCCATTCTTTGTTACCACCAAGTTAATCTTACTAAGACCTATATGATTATTACTCTTTTGCTTAGAAATATTCCGTGGCTCCTTTCCGAAAGAGTAGAAGCCAGATGCTCAGCATCACACCAAAACGCCTTCATGATACGGCCCTTCCTTTCCAG